TCATATGGTTTTGCGAGGCATTCATCTCCACGTGCTGTCGACTGACTAGTGTCGCTGTATACCGGGGTCATGATCTGTCAATTATGCGTAAAATGTTTCACTATTTCTTTGAATACACACTCATTCAGGCGTTTAACGTGTTTTACTTGTTTGCCATCAATTGGTTTCAGTCACACCGGCCTACCATTCATGAGATAACCGTAAGATTTGATGATTTTGGCGAATATAGGGCTAATTGTGTGATAATTCAGCAAAGGATTCAAAATTACATGAATTGTGAGTATAAGGCGTGGAATGTATTCACAATCGATAAGCGATTTGTGTTCACTTTTCTCAGTACTTGTGTCACGTTTGCAGTTATGTTTATACAGTTATTGTCAATAAATAAGTAAATGTTATAATTTGTGTTTATTAATGCAAAAAGATAATTAATTTTATTCAATAATTTCATATGAATTTATCATAAATAATTAAAATATTTTTATCGCAAACTCTAATATTATAAGTAAATTATTGTGAAATCAATGAATACATAATTTGACATTGTAAGTGTAGTGTTTGTTATGAACCTAAATTGAAGTTTTAAATGTGAAATAATAGTTTTAAACTTATTCGTATTGTTGCTAAAAAATAAATTTTAATTATGTTTTCAATAAATTATTTGATAAATCAATCAGTTATGGGCAATAAAATTATGTAAAACTGTTTCTATGTTAACAAACATTCATAATACATGTGTTTACTATTAATAATAAATTTATATTTATTTTTGTCGGATCGGTTACTTCATTCACTATTTTGTTTGATGACATTTTAATATTAAATATTAAAAATTAATTTTTTGTATATTGTAAAAAACAATCCTATTTAGTATAATAAAACTTATAAAAATATTATTGTAAATGACAAGTTTCAAAAATATTAATTTAAATAAAACAATATTCTGAATAACATTTACTTATAAATTTAATGATGAAAGTTTTTACTGTACTGGTACATAATAACAAAATAAATATTGTACAAAAATAATCAATTTAAGTTGTTTGTATCCAGTCGAGTCGACTATTATTTCAATTTTATGAAAATATTGAAAATACTTTATAGATAATAGATTTTATAAATTAACTCAAAACATGTCAAACATGGTTAATGTCAACAATCTATTTGTGCAAATATTTATTTGAATAAATCAATTTCTAACATTATTCATAATTAAAGTGTTTCAATACCATTGACTAGTTTATGGACTAAACTTGGATTAAAATGTTTGAAACCATTTTCCCTTTCACCTTAATTTACCACTTATATGGACTATTATTTAACCCCGATCACTTTAAGCAAACACATAAACATTTCTTAATTATTATATTAAAAATTAAAACATCTATTATAATGCTATACCTCATAATAACCACGTTTAGATATGTGCTTGTATCTACAACTGAATTTCTATTCGTGATATCCTATCACTTAAAAGCCGTACTAATATTCATTACGTTTATTAATCTCAACATAAACTACACCAAAATCTTGGAGATTATCTCAGAGATAATAAATCTGTTGTCAATCAGTGATAAAAATACACTGAAAATTGTGGGCAAACTATTCACTGGCATATGGTTCACATCCATAACCATAAACGCTTCGGTATTCATATGGCTATCACTTGAAATACACCCGGATTTTGTGGATAGGGTAGACCCGGTGATCACTATTAACGCGATATTATGGTCGGTATACCAAGTGAGCTGGTATTTAGCCACTCATCTACTACTAGTGCTGACCTGTTATGGCATTCATTTGGTTGAAAGAAATGTATTCAAGAATTTCATGGATAAGAATCGATTGAAAATTATCGAAAATTCTGGTGTTTTTGAGGAATTCGCACAAAATTTATCCAGAATTCAGTCAATCAAGGAATCGGTGAACACTTATTATGGGTTTATTGTATTTGTATGGTTTTGCGAGGCATTTACCTCCACGTGCTGTCGACTGACTAGTGTTGGTCTATACCGGGGATACAATCACTCGTTTGTCGTCAAAATGTTTCACTATTTCTTTGAATACACACTCATTCAGGCGTTTAACGTCTTTTACTTGTTTGCCATCAATTGGTTTCAGTCACACCGGCCTACCATTCATGAGATAAACGTAAAATTTGCTGATTTTGGTGGATATGGGGCTAATTGTGTGCTAATTCAGCAATCAATTCAAAATTACATGAATTGTGAGTATAAGGCGTGGAATGTATTCACAATCGATACGCGATTTGTGTTCACTTTTCTCAGTACTTGTGTCTCGTTTACAGTTATGTTTATACAGTTATTTCAATCAAATTGTTAAATATTTTTGGTTATTACAATCATTAATATAACAATAATTAAACGTTAATATTATAAGAGAGATAAATTGTAAATCCAATTATGTTATCATTACAATAATTTATTTGCTAAATATACTTTTTCGACATTAGTTATGAATTATTATGTAATAATTAATATTTTGTTTTTTTATGAAATAAACTTATTTTCATTTATGAAGTAAATCTAATTTCGAGGTTAAAATGTAGCTATTTTTATCTATTTGCATAAAGTTAGCCAGTAAACAGAAACTATTAAAACTTATGCTTTTTCTTTGATTTATTAATAATCAATATATTGATTGACATTTATATTGAATAGCTTTTAATGGAAATGATGTTATCATACGATATTTTAAACATGTATTGTATTTAAATAATAATTTTGTAAAACAAATCCAACGCTATACAGGTTTATTACATAAGTATTATAATATACAGTAGATTAAAACATGAAGTGTACAAGATCTTAAAATTCACTCAAGATTAATAAATCAGTTGTGGAGTAGATATTAAATAAGAAAATTATGTCTGGATTAATACAACTATGTTATCATTACCTAAAAAAGTTTAAAATGTTTAATAACAAGAATAGTGATGGAAATATTGGTATTGAAATTTAAAGATTTGAATTGTTTTTCAAATATAAAATCTCCTCATTATTTACATGCAGTGATCAATATGTATTGAATACCAGGTCTACAAAAAGTATGTTAATAATGGCTATAATATCACGAATAGCAATATTTATCTATCTACTAAGATATACATTTATACTCCTGGTAAATAATAAATTCATACTTGATATTATGTTGGACACTAGTAGATATATTGGTAATAAGTTTTTAATATCCAGCGCATACTTTTTAATTTCATTAATATTTTGTATTTTATACACAGTACAAATGTACCAAGAATATACTAAGACATTTTATAGTTTAAATGTAATTTATAAGTTAAAATACAATATGTTTAAATATTCACTAAACAAAAGAAATGAGATAAAATTAATAAAATTGCTTGCTATTTTAAATAACTTTATTGTTAAACCATTATGCTATTCTGTTAGTATAACATTATGTTTAACAAATGTAATTTTTAATCTGGCTAAATTTATTGACTCTCCATCTATTATATCCTTATTTTCAATGATTTTATTTGATGTATGTGGCATATTTTTATTTATGCAAGCATACGTTACGTTTGTAAAGTATTTTATGTTGTGGCTAATATTATCGCAATATTTAAAGTATAAATTTATTGAAATTAATTACAAGATAACAATGGCTGTAAAGTTTAATATCAATAACTTACTAATGAATGCAATCGTTGAACACAATTACTACGAAATACAGACTAAATATGTGAACCATTTTTATAAATGGGCTATACTTGTCGGGTACTATATTTTATCATTTTTTGGCGAGTTGTGTGTTTACACAATTCAGAAACCTGGGACCATTATAACCACTAAAATTATTTTGACTATGTTTTTATGCATCATGCTCTCTTTTCTATTTTCATTGTATAATATGTTGATCGGTATCCCCAAAGTGGCCCATAAGTCGTATCCACTATTGATATCATATTCATTGGAAACACATAATATATTTCACTAAAAAATAAATTAAAATATTTGGCATTTATTGAGCGATTATCTATTGGCCCACAAATAGGCTTTTATTGCTATAATATGTTTCCCATAAATAGCTATGAAATCTATCAATTTGTATGCATTTCTTGCGTTAATTATATTCTCATAAATAATTTCTTTTAGACTTGTAAACTAAATATTAAATAAAATAATGTATTACAAACTTAATTCATTAAATTTAAAAGTTGTTAAATTCTGAATTCATTGAATACAATACAATTTCTGTGCATATTAATAACTTTATTAAATAATTAATTTTATAATATGTTTACTTGATAAATGCAATAATTTATTAAATAATCTTTGTTATGAAGTTTATAGGCATCTTTTAAAAAATTATATTAATAATTAAGTAAACTATAAAAACATAATTACTTCAATAAAATTATCAATTATATTGATTATGCATTAAATGTCATTATTCTGGAAATTCTGAAATAAAATATTATTCTTAAAATACAACTAAATTTTAAAATTCATAGTTTTAAAATATTTTTTACATTAAATGTATTACAATAAATTTTATTGATATTATTTAAAAATCATACTAGAAGTAAATGAAATATGAATTGAACAAATTAGAAATCTAAGTAAATTAGCATACCACAAATACATTTATTTGTGTTAGGTTATTTATATGTTTTGTATTTATTATATTTTGAAAATATTACTCACAAAAGTTTATTTTCAAAAAATTCACAAAAAAATGAATTTGAATGACATTTAAGTCTCTTTAATAAGAACTGAAATTCGGATTCTTGTAGAATATTCTGGTCTATAGTCCAGTCGTTAAAGTCATGCAATACTTGCGAACATTCGGGCTGTCGGTTCCATATGGGGGTCGACATCATTGACAACAAAACTTTTAGCAAGCTAATTAATTTTGTGTGAAAGGTCTCGCTTTCATTGTAACTTATTTGCAAACTATATGTTTAGAAAATAATAAAATAATATTTTATTTAATAAAAACATAATTTGATCAAATTACTTATCAGGGTCATAATTAAATAGGATCAAGTCAAATATCTCCCCACCAATTAGAGCCAGACTATAAATATCTGCTTTATGTCCATACGGTGTACCATGACCAATTTCAGGTGCTTGGTACTTTATGGTTCCCACTCCAGTAGTATGCTTACCACAAGTATTATAATTAATATCTTTATCGTGAACTGTAGCCAAACCAAAGTCGCATAACTTAACAAACCTACCGTTCCCTACATCCTTAACTATTAATATATTGTCGGGTTTGAGGTCTCTGTGAATGATCTGTGGATTCAATTCATGTAAATATTGAACACATTGTAAGATCTCTCGGAATATTTCGCACGAAATTAAGTATTCGTAACAATTCATAGGATCTCCAGGTTGTCGATCAAACACATGTGCCTTGACTTCGAGAATATTCTTGAGATTCTGTGAACAGTACTCCATCTGAATGTAGAGGTGTTTGCCTTCGGACCACGAATTGTAATATTTGACCACATATTCCGACCGCACTTTTATTAGGCTTTCCACTTCTCGAAGGACTTGATTTTTGTCAATCATACCTGTAGTAATGGATTTTTGCTAGATTATTTCTATATTACACTCAATAATTATTTGGATATACCTTTGAACTCAACCCTTTTGATGGCATATATTTCATTGTCAAGTCTATGCCTTACTTTAAATACTGTGCCAAAACCTCCCGATCCTATGGTTGATAAACTTTTAAATAAGCTTGTATAGCTGACCTTGCCTAAATTATTTTGTTTGTAAAAATTATAATTTATTATTTTGTTAAATAAACAGTAGTGAATTTATAAGTAATTACCTGGGTTATTAGTATTAGTAATCTTATCACGATTTTTCAATGTTTTTTGTTTTGCATTCATATTTAGCGTGTTATAAGTTATTTGGTATTCAATGGCATAAAAATCACTAAAATCATTATATTTAGTTTCAACCACTTTATTAACCTCGCTAATTTTGTAAACTTTATTATCACTCAAAACCGTTATAAACGTAAACTCATTGAACGAATAGATTTGTTGAAAGTATTGTATATTTAGTTTTAATCCCAATTTCATGGGAATATTCTGTACAGTAAACTGATTTTTATTGACTTAATGTTATATTAATGTGATATTTGCCACAAAAATACACGCATTCAGTATCAGTAAGAAAATAGGTTAACATACTAGTCGCGCAAATGGACTTGATACTTTTCAAGTTTTGCACCAATTGCGGTGTATAAATAAACTTGCCTGATACTTCGTGTCCCAACTGGTGGTTATAATTATA